TAACGAAATTAATGAAATTGAAATCAGAACAGACCGATTTTATTGACGCATAAAAGTAGCATTTGCCGGATAAATTGATTGAAGCGGTGTACCTAAGTGTTTGACGATGAAAATCTTTATTATTACGATTTTCTTTAATACATGTGGTTCAGCTGGTGAATTAATATTAATTTCGTTTAGTAAAGAAAAAGTAATATCAAAAAGTACTACTCTCAATGAAAAATTTCTAGCAAAAGAACACCGATTTCTACCAAATATCATTCGCGAATTATATTGAAATTAAAAAATATTCTATTGAAATACAAAAAGTTAGACAGTAGAAGAGATGGATGGGTGCTTCCATCTGCCTGGGATCATTAATAAAATTAAACCCATACCCAAGTATAATACTGTAAGACTTTAAGATATTCTGCGTAGATTGGAGCAAAAATGTATATTTTAAAACTGAAGGTAGCCGGGCTAACTATGACATCCTGACGTCAAACAGTCCATCCTGTGACTATGGGTGCTATAATGCATCTGAAACGTCGCGAATTAAAAATTTAAATTAGGCGCGATAGAATCATTATTTTCATTTAATGTGAGTGTTAGCGTAGATATAAGAAATCATTATCCTAGCATTGTTTAATTTATCAGCGAATCAATCAAGCTTATATTTACAATGCTAAAGGCAAACACCTTAACTATTTATGTCGTCGTAACTGAGGAAAACTTCCCGGTCAGGAGTAATTCACTGAAAGTTCACAGTACACAGCTGTAGCTATAGCTATTTATGAGATCGATCTCTACCGGTAGCAACAATGAAATTGATAGTTGCAATTTTACGTGCTAATTTACCAAGTGCTTGGCGGTAAAAATACATCGTATGGAAACCTGCGTGTCTGAGAACTTAACTATAAAAATCCTGCCAGAAATAAGAAAACGCCAAGATTTATAAATTTACTTCACATTTTTACCCAAAATCACACAAAATTCACAGCTCATTCAGTCAAACTCTCAGTAATTTGTCTTAACTCTGTGCTAAAACGTTGTGACTATATACTCTTTGCTCTTTGCGACTGTTTTTCCACAAACTACTATGTGTTAGACACGTAGATCTTACGGCACGTAGATCATAGACTCTATTCTTTGATATTGGCACTATGAACGTAAACAAACGACAGATTAATAAATGTTTGACACTGGCAGTATGAACAATAACAATGAATGCTTGATTATATTTTTAATGTATTTGTAGAGGTAGAGAGGTAGAGCCATGCTGTAGCTATATTTGCAGCACGAATGGGTCGGTTCGACCGGGGAAGCACCACGCTCTCACATAATATCAGCGTAAAATAGTAGCTTAACACTGCTGTGTTTCGTATGGTGAGTGTAAACAACGGGAGACCCTTTTTATTAAATAAGAGTCATTCCCTCTTATTCCTCACGGGTGGCGACGCATCTGCATTTTGATTCGCAAACGAGGATAGTTGTAGATGTCTATGGGTAATGGTATCTGATGGTAAGTGGTTGCGGTGACCCATAGTCTATGGGTCATAGCAACCACTTACCACCGTACCGTACGTACCGTATCGTACTGACATATTTATTTGAAAGCTATATATTATTTAATTTGATGATAAATGTATTATCATTTCCAACTAAACAATGTAACTCTTCTAAATTTAAATAGATATTTCCACAATTATTGCTTCTGCGGCAGCAATGCGCCGGATACCATTTAGTTATAAATAAATTTTAGCTTTTTGCTTACCTATTTCATATAAACTTTAACTATGGCAGACGACTCTTCATTCCAATTTTTTCATCCAAATTTTTGCATGTCTCATATAAGACATATTATATATTTTAACGCCCAGTCAATGACGCAAGACATCTGGTACTGTGACTGTCAAAGGCCCAAAGCGCTAGCCAAGCGTGGCAGTTAAGACACTTTTCCCACAATGAGGGTGACTTATGTATGAAAAAATGAATTATATTATGTATAATTAAAACGATCTTCAATTATCTAATATATGAAAATAAAATTTTGGTTGTTCATATTGTATGTGCTGGCATATCGTTTATCAGATTTTGCGCTATAAATTAGTCAACTTATTGCTTGCACTTGCGCGAAGGTTATAGGCATAGTGCAATTAACTTACAGAAGGTGGCGCCAGTATCATACCGACAAATTTATTTGAAACTTATATATCATTCAATTTAATCATGAATGTAGGTATTATCATTCCTAATTAAACAATATTACTCTTCCAAATTTAAAAGGATATTTGTACAATTGTTTCTTTTGCGGCAGCAATGCGCCCGGACCAGCTAGCATATATAATATGCTACACGAGTACATCGAAAAACTTACAAGCTTTATAGGCCATATGTCTCAGTTTTGACGGCTTAGTAGCAGTGTCTTAGCAATGAGTTACAGCGCTGAGCGTTTAATAACTAGGAAGTTATTATGTGTATAGGCAATTTACACGTGGTACACATTTTACACGTGGGTCGGCTGGATCAGGAAGGACCCCACTCTCATAGATTATCACCGTAAGATGACCTTTTTACTAGAATTGAAGCAATCCAGCTTAGTCCTCAGGGATAGCAACGCGTCTTCTGTGTTTTGATTCTTAATTCTTGAGGATTTCTTGAGTATAGTTGTCTAAGAGCCACAGTACCTACTTACGGTCATGCTCGTTTTTAACCCTTATTCTAAACAAATACCGAAATCGCACATGGACAAACATCCATACAAATATCCGATGCGGATTCAAACCTAATACCCACAGTGCCGGAGCCATACTTACAGCTACTGTATTACTGTATTTGTTAAATGTTATCACAAAACCACATTTTATGCTCCAATATCATGGTACAAACAAAATTCAACTAGGAAATCGATAAACCACAATTCCGGAGTCGAAATACAAGTGGCCTAACTAGTGTAAACGTTCGACGGAGTTAAATGTGAATTCTGCTACCTAGAGATCAATCGCTACTGTACGGTGATTGAACGCATTGATTGACTTCAAGAAAAAAGCAGATTCACAACTCGTCGCAATATTTCATTATTACAAACGATTTCGATTATAATATTACTTTTAGTTTCATTATTTCTACACAAATAATATTAAGGCCTTAGAATATTTAGAAGTAATAAAAAGGGATGTTAGTGCAATTCAGTCTGTTCTCACATTTTATTAGTAAACCTATGTAATATTTTAAAATAAAACTATATAATAATTGATTTTAATTACAACTACAAATGTCCATTATCGGATTTACATGTAATCATTGATGGCTAACTAAAATTAAGTAGTAATCAACATTTTAAAAGTAGTTCATTTAATGAAAAGAGAGAAAGAAAGGGAACAATAAACATTTAATTAACTTAGCGTCGATTTTATAAGTAAGGTGATATATGATCCCGCGTTGAATAAAATTAGTTTAGGGTTAACATTTTCGTTTCTTTTCAAAATACTACGTAAAACCAAAGTTAACATGCTAACGTAGTCATCCCTTTAAAATAGTAAACAGCAAAACGTGGAGATGTATTCAAATTTGAACTTCTGAACACATAAAAGTCCACTGCTGAATATAGTCCTCCCTTACAGTTTACCTCATAGGGTGGATTTTGCCATAGTTGCCACGCGCCACGCTTGACAGGCGGGTCAGTAACCGCAATTTTTTATTATTTTTATCAGAAAGATGCTGCTGCCCATCTCCTGTTTCGAATATACGATAGCCTGACGTGGCCTTTTAAGTAATATAACACTTTCATATGCTTATTTACTAACGTTTACTTTTTGACTGTCAGAAATTCGCTGTGCAGAAATAAAGAAAAAAGTAATATAAATAAAAGATGGTGTAATAGAATCCACCCCCCATTTAGTCCCGTGGGTGTCGTAAGGGGCTACTGTGGGAAATGCCAGAAACATCTTATAGCTTCTGACAGATGACAGTAAAAACCATCAAAGTATACTACAGCATGGTTTTACGTGGTAGAGCCATGCTGTAGCTATATTAGTAGTATAGTTGTAGCACGAATGGGTCGGCTCGACCGAGGAAGGACCACGCTCTTGCAAAATACCAGCGTTAAATAGCAGCTTAACGCTACTGTGTTTCGTATGGTGAATGTAGAGAACCGGAGACCCATTTTACTGGAAAAGGGGCATTCCACCTTAGTCGTCACGGGTGACAACGCATCTGCATTTTGATTCGCAAACGAAAATAGATGTAGATGTCTATGGTCCACAGCAACCACTTACCATCAGGTGGACTGCGTTCTCGTTTGTCACCCTTATTCTATAAAAAAAGACGTTAATTATGAGTGGAAAACCTCGACCGGCGACAAGCAACACTGTGATTGTCCATACTGCCAAGAAAGATAATTACATAATACTTATTGAAAGTAATTTTAAAATTATAATAAAGCCTACCTTAAACACTCATATCTATAACTAACGACCCGCCCCGGCTTAGCCTGAACAGGGTCTATTAGTGTGGCGTTATTTAGATTTAATATAATTAAAATTTAAAACCTATTTATTTTAGAGAAAAAAAAATTAAATGTTGTTATTTATGTCTTAATAGCATGCAAATAACCCCCTGGCTTTAAAAGAAGCCAGTATATATGTTACACATTAGTACTTACAATAACCGTTACCTACAGCAGCCTATTAAAGTCCACTGCTGAACATGGGCCTCCCCCGTAGATTGCCTCATAGGGGAGGGTATTTGCCATAGTTCCCACGCTTGGCAAGCCGGTTAGGAAGACGCTGCTGCCCATTGATTCGTTTCCTTTTGTCGCCTCTTACGGCACCCACGGGATGATATGTGTACTAGATATTTTTACACTGGCCCCAGGTAAAACAATAAACTAATAAGAAATATTTAACTTTTTCACAATACAAGTGATTTTTTTAAATACCCCAAGTTCAGCATTGGCTTAAAGAGGCTAATTTATGATATATTCATGATTATTTTCAAAGCGAAAAATCATTTGTCAACAGGTAATGTGTTCGTGATAGCGGCCATTATAATCGAAAGAAACCTACAAAACGTCGCTAACTACCTCGTCGCCTCGCTGGCAGTGGCGGACTTAATGGTGGCGTGTCTTGTTATGCCGTTAGGAGCCGTTTATGAGGTTTGATTTTAAATCATTATTATATATATATATATATATATATATATATATATATATATATATATATATATATATATATATATATATAAATATATAGAATATTAAAGAATAGATTCTAATATTGGAAGATTATAATGAAAAGGTTGGGGTGAAGGGGTTTGGTTATGAATTGATATTGGGAACATTAGGCGATGAAAGTATAAATGAGAATAGTGAAAGCCTCCTCACCGTATGTGTGGAAAATAATATTTTTGTAACGAACACTCTTCCCTCATAAGAAGATTCACATTTATATATGGGAAATAGGCGATGATAGAAGCATGATAGATTTCATAATTTTGGATGAAAGAATTAGGAGCGCAGTGTTAGATACAAGGGGACAGGCGTAATTGTTTATGTTATATGTTATTATATATACAAAATATGTGTGTATATATGTATGTATGTATGTGCGCGTAAGTGTGTGTTTTATGTGTATTGATATATAATACTTATATAATGTAAATAGTATGTAATGTAGTAGAATAGGAGGAAATAGTTTAACTGTTTTTCTTTTCATGTTTTTTTCCTTTATTTGCACCTACCAACATCTTTATTTATTTCGTCTTTCTTATGGCGGCTCTTCACGTTGGCCAACATAGTGGCGAATGTGTTGGCAGAGATATTGGCCAAGAATTTGTGATCGCGTCCACACGTTGGAAGAGCGTTCAGTTTGCTTCGGTTCGGGCCAATGTACGGAAGAATTTATTAAGGTGATTATTGATGAGCTGGCGGGTGCTGCAGTTTGTTTATTCACAGCATACCACTACAACGTGAATGTGTATAAGAAAAGGGTGATCAAAAAGAAATGGAAAACAGGAATTTTATTTCTTGACGGCTCCGTGGCGTAGTGCCTTAGCAATGAGTTGATGCGCTGGGGGTCGCGGGTTCCAATCCAACAAGTATTTGTATGGCCCGCAAATAATTGCTCCGTGTCTGGATATTTGTCCTTATGCAATTTATGTTTGTGAACTGGCTCCACGATACAGGAGAAAATCCTAGTGTGGGGGTAACGTTTTTTTTTTAAAAAGACTTGTGTTTCACAAACAATTATCGTCTTGGTAGGGCTCTATAAAGTGAAAAGTTTTTCCATTGGTCATTGTTACTGTCATTACGTAGATACTAGTTAAAATGCGTGCATATAAAATTTTAATCAGGTGCGTGCGATCACTCTGTGAGCTCGTAGCAAACTGAACGTGCGCCCAACGTTTGGACGCGGTGGCCAATACTCTGCTTTTGATCTTTTGTAAAAAACCGACACCACACGGATCTCGCGCCAATTTGTGGGCCATCGTTCCAATACATACCAACGTAAGCATAAACACCCGCTCTACACGATGTCCATCGTTATTGGCCAACACATTCGCCAGTATGTTGGCCAACGTGAAGAGCCGCCTTTAGGGTGGACTGGTACAGAATTCCATAGGACATTAAGTCGGCCTATTGTTACTTCTAGTTGAACGTGTATGGCAAAAAAAGCTAGTTAGCAAAAGGCAAACTCACAGTTAATTCTTGCTTTTTGCTAACTGGCTAATAACTAAACTTGAACCGCCCATCAGACATTTCGCTTTAATTCAAGTGTGTTGCATAGAAGTATTAGGCTTAGAACCGCAGTAGGCGCACGCAAAGTGAAGCTATTTCAAGTTAGCTTTTAAAGGCTAAGTACGACTTTTGGCGCGTTAGTACTCGAGTCCACGTATTCGTGTAAACAGCTCGTACAATTTTTCAAAAAAATGACGTACTGTACTGTGAAAGGGTACATTATTTTCGTGATTATGTGATGAGTTGTGATACTCATCACATAATCACGAAAATAATGTAAAAATCTCATTTCACGGTTAAGTACTGCCTAGCATCTTATATTTTTGTAAAAAACATTCATCAAAACTAAATAATAAATAATAAATTTGACAACGCCAATATAATAATAATAATAATAATCATTTATTTCAATCTATCAGATTATAGTTACATTTGAAATGAAATAAAAATTTTGATTACATTTGAATTAAATTAAAATAAAATTGAATTATATTAAATTAAAATTATTAACTATAATGAAAATGTTGCTAGGCATAGTAAAATATTTTTCCCCATTTTTTCTTATTATTATAATTATAAAAAAATTAATATTGAAAAAAATACATACATACTGCCAATAGTCTCATTCACATATAAATAGGTATATTTATTTGTCAAATATTATTAGGGTTCACATATGCCACGAAAAAAAAATATGTTGATTTTATTTTGTTTTGATAATGTGCAGTTGTTTTTACCTTTTTATGGTATGTGTTTTAGGATAATGCCTATGATTATTTTTTTATTCTAATTTACATACATTTGTCACCCTTATCCTATAAAAAAAAAACATTTAACATTTTTAATTCGATTCTTTTAAGAATCTAAAAAAGATAATATTTCGAGGATAGCGTCATCTAAGCGGCAGTTGTTTAGAAAACAGTTGCAGTTTCAGAGTCAGTAAGAGATATTTTTTTAAGTACTTGTGTACATTTTATTTTATTTTATATTTTTAATAAACATTTTTAATTTTATGTTTTATTTGAATAGTTATCTCCTTCCGAATCTTGTTTTGTTTTAATGCAAAACATAATATCCAATAAAGTAATAATAATAATGACTTGAAGCTGACCGCACTCTTAAGTCTCGTGATTCCTTCTAATATTATATCCATTCTGTGAAAGTTGTATGTTGTAACCTTTACGTTGAAACCGATTTAAATTAAATATATCACGTAGATTCTTAGAATGGCAAGAATCGAGATCAGTGTATGCTTTAATGTGCGGTTGAAGCTGCGGGCCACAGCCAAAGTTAGTAAGGAATAAAAAAATTAACTTTATTAATAAATCTAATGACAAAATATCTGACAGCTAAAATGATTATCTGACAACTATTCACTTTTTAAGTGTAAGTGGGACTGGATTGGAAAAACTGGAAGAAATAGACGTAGGAATTTGCCTCCTCAATTTATTCCACTTCTCTATATATTATAGAATAAGGCCATTGAGTATATATAAAAATTACAAATAATATAAGATTTTATGGAAGATAAATAACAAATATTTATATAAATATATAATTTTTATACGTGGTAGAACCACGCTGCAGCTAAATTAGTAGTATAGTTGTAGCACGAATGGATCAGCTCGACCGGGGAAGGACCACGCTCTCACAGAATACCAGCGTAAAATAGCAGCTTAACACTGCAGTGTTTCGTATGTGAGTGTAGAGAACCGGAGACCCTATTTACTGAAAAAGAGGCATTCCATCTTAGCCCTCACGGGTGACAACGCATCTGCATTTTGATTCGCAAAGGAGGATAGATGTAGATGTCTATGGGCCACAGCAACCACTTACCATCAGGTGGGCTGTGTACTCGTTTGTCACCCTATCCTATAAAAAAATATAGCACTTCTAACAGAATAATATAATTACATAATAGATTTGTCAATATAACACAGGTTATTACGTATATAAATAATTTAAATATTACACAAGTTAACAAAAATAAATAATGTTACATTTTTCTCTTTGCAAATAGTTAATAAATAATTATAAACGGAACCTAAATGTTAATTCTATACAGGCCGCTTATGCACACATTCATTGTGTTGTTGCTTCAACTTTGAACGGAATTTTGAATGTCACTATCACTCTATGTCTAATTACTCTAAGGTGTGTTGTGTAGAATGAAATATAATATAAAATACTAATGCATATTTTAAATAGTTACTAATGCTGTTAATTTTGTTATCTTTTCATAAAAAAATAATAATAAAATAGTAACACCTTAAAAATTCACACTAAATAAATCGAATTAAATTAAAGAGTTAAGTTATTAGTAGCATTCCCATGTATTCTAATATTTTTAATTACTCTGGATACATAATAAAATCTGGTACACTCGATTAAATACATAAATTAGTATCTTAATAAAAGTGTTTTTGTAATACTATATTTTTTGTAATAAATACCGCCGTTTTTGAAGGGTACTGAGAATAGTTAATATACATGCCTAATAAAGATGCTTAATTATTTCCATCGTAAAATTTCAAGTATTCTGTTTTTTTAATCTACTTGAATATATCAAGGGTTGAAAATAGTGGATTAAGTATTATGTAACTATTTAGACGTTATTTCACTTGTTACCTTTTGCTTGTGATATTGCTTAATCCACTATATAGGGTCAATTTTTTTACGTAGATTCTGATAATTTCATATTGGGTTTTTAATACGAAAGTAGATGATTAATTTTAAATCTAAATTTGTGTTGTCTGTGATATACCAGTAATTATTTTGTTATTTTTTTTATTTAATTTGCTAAATACATTGATTTTATTGCTCAAATATATACATACACCCATTTATGTTTCTTCTGAATAGGTACATACTATGAGTTACCTAAATATATCTACATACAACGTCGTATGAAATCTATGAATGTCTTTTTGTCGTTGTTCTTTTATCTTTTTAATTCCAAAATGCGTGGTAATGCGTTGACTGCTCTTTGAAAAATAACCCTGTGTATATACACACAGGGTTATCTTTATATATATACTACACTTAATCTTGAGGGCATTATTATTACTATTACAAGCTGTAACGTTAAATACATTATGATTTCTTTTGTTTAAACGAACACTACAAATTGAATAAAACTATTTATAAGGATTTTATGGCGTTCAAAAACGTTGGGAATTAAAAAAAAAAAGTTAATTAAATGCGATAACATCCGTATAAATAGTTTTATTGAATTATATACATTTAGAAGAATATCATAAAATATCTTTATTATGTTTTAAACTTTAATCAGTTGTTTACTTCATTAAATGTGTAAGTCTCAGTAATAAATTTCGTATTTCAACAGGTCAGTCAAGGCTGGATTTTAGGCCCAGAATTGTGTGATATGTGGACGTCTAGCGATGTCCTCTGCAGCTCAGCGTCCATTCTTCATCTTGTCGCTATTGCAACTGACAGGTTAATACACATTACAATATATTAACGTTTTAAGTGGTAGAACCATGCTTGAGCTATATATCGCTGCAGTACAAATTGGTCAGCTCGACCGGGGAAGGACTACGCTATTACAAAATACCATCGAAAATTAAAGCAAAACAATAAGCAAAATACCAAATAGCATCTTAATGCTGCTGTGCTTTTTATGGTAAATTTAAAGAAATGGAGACCCTTTTTACAGGTAACGACGCATTCCTACTTAGTCCCAAGGAGAGACAACGCATATTATACATTTTCATTCTTAATTGGGGGTGGAAGTCGATGCCTATAAGCCACAGCATCCACTTACTATCAGGTGAACTGTGTGATTGTTTGTCACACTTACATTATAAAAAAAATGTACGTTATAAACTTTCATTTGAAAAATACGATAAAAAAATTACGGAATAGTTTATTGACGACAAATACAAGTAAGCTAACGCTAACTATTACAAAGATATTGTTTTTGTGTTCACAGTATGCAAGCAACTTCGGTGGGAATTCCCGCCGGCAGCAGTGAAATTGTTATTTGTAATTTTGTTTGCCAATTTATCACGTGTTCAGCGGTTAAGGAATATATTTTTGAGTAAACCTACATGTCTGGTGAATGGAATATTTCGAAGATTTGTAAAGTCAGCGCATCTGTCTGATGGGCTGTAAACTTTATTTTATATAGAAATTTGTAGATATTTTTATTTTAGTTTACCGCAATATGTGACCTTATTAGTTATTATGCGTTAATAAGGTTGATGGAGGTGTTTGCGTTCACGTCGTAACACGCTATCTGCAAACACGTAACACACACATCAATTAAATGGTAATGGGGTTGTTATAAACTAATTTGCTTAATTCCGCGTAAAGAAAGAAAATGATGTTTCATGCCAAGTCTTAAGGTGACCTTCCACACTCCCTCAATCGCGCGCACTTTACCCGTCGCTGTTAATCCCAGCACTACCATCCCCAGCACCACCACACTAGGCACGACACACCACTCCCAAAATACGACACGTGTTTCGCCTCTACACGAGGCATACTCAGGTGAAGTAGACTGCGGAGGCTGGCCGCGAAGTGAGCGGCGAGCCAAAACTACTGCTATTTATACTACTTGCTAACGTAACCGCGCTCCAATTACGTAGCGAGCGATTACGTCATGCGATCAATCACCGCCTGACGTAGGCCGATATTTGCTGTGAAATTAACAACAAACTACTGCGAAACGTCCGCCTACCCTACAACCACGCAACCAAACGCTGACCACCGCACCGTGAGGGTGACAAACGACCATGTTGTAAGGCTATATCTATTTCAAGGAACAGGTTTAAACATGTTTAAGAGAGGCGAGTTGGAAACATTTGTTTGTTCATTCAGCAGTGCAACATTTCCGTTATTATTTTTAAATTCTCTAACTGTTCCAGCACATAAAGCTTACCATTGGAATCCGTAGTTCCCTGTTTTTAAGTCACTTAAGCAGATAATAAGGGACAATGCTCTTATTGTGACTAAAGCCGACAAGGGCAATACTGTTGTTATTATGGATAATAGCGGGTATAGCCAGAAGGTTAACGATGTTATCCAAGTTAATCCAAATCCCCACCAAAAAGTTTACTTCGGATATTAAAGTATGTAAACAACAATCCTCAAGCACCCATTTTAAATGGGTTACCTAAAATACATAAAGAACAGGTTCCTATTCGTCCAGTTGTATCATATATATGTGCACCTGCTTATTTCCTTGCTAAAAAGTTAAACTTCCTTCTGCGGAAGAAATCCGGATTCAAACCAACTTACAGCCTTAAAAATAGTTTATATCTCATTTCCAAGATTAAAGATATTCGTATTCCACCTAAATCCATGTTGTTATCTTTAGACGTTGATAGTCTTTTCACAAATGTCCCATCCCCAGACTGTTTGCGTATACTCGCAGATCTCTTTAATAAACGTCGTCTACATCCCGGAGCAACAAATGATCTTCTAAAATTAACCTCTCTTTGTATGAAACAAAACTATTTCCGGTTTAATAACCACTTCTATCTACAAAAAGAAGGGCCATGGGTTTCCTTCTTAGTACTCTTATGGCGGACATTTATATGGTAATTTTGAGAAACAAAACATAGTTGTCAATCAAAATATCTATACTATTATCGATATGTAGACGACATAATTATTTGCTGGACTGGCACAAAGAGGCAACTGGATGTTTTCTTTAAAAAAATTAATAAAATCCACGACAAAATTTAATTTAAGCTTGAATTGAAACAAGATTTTGTCCATAAATTCCTCGACTTAACAATAACAAGGAAAGAGTCGTTACATGAATTTCAAATTTATCGAAAGCCAACTCATACCAACACGGTCATTCCTGCGTCATCATGTCATCCGCGGCAACATAAATTAGCCGCTTTTTATTGTTATATTAATCATTTGTTTACTGTGCCATTAAGTAAAGAAAATTATTTAAAATAGCTTAATGTGATATATCAAATTGCGGTCTCTGACGGTTATTCAAAGAATATCATTGACAATGTAATAAAAAAGAAACAAAAATTGTCGTACGCAATTCTCTGTACGCAATTAAACGTCAAAGTGATCGTCGATATGTTGGCAGTTTGACCTACTTAGGTTCCATATCTGAAAAAATAGCTAATAGTCTTCGACAGAGCGGAGTATACGTGGCATTCAAAACAAACAATTCACTTAGGAATATCTGTAATTATAAAGATAAGTTAGATATTCGTCTAAAGTCTGGTGTTTATAAACTTGTTTGTGACGAATGCCAAGCCGTTTACGTGGGTCAGACTAGTCGCAACTTCGAAACACGTTATAAAGAGCATTTAGCCGCGTACAGGAATTGTAACCCCGATAAATTACATTTTGCTAAACATCTCTTAGACACTGGACACAGCCTAGCCAATGACCACACCTTTAAAGTCTTACATGCTAGTAATAAAGGGCTACGACTGTGTGTGCTGGAACAGTTAGAGATATTAAAAAATAATAACGGTAATGTTGCACTGCTGAATAAACAAACAAATGTTTCCAAGTCGCCTCTCTTAAACATGTTTAAACCTACTCCTTGATGATATATAGCCTCACAACATGGTCGTTTATCAGCCTCACGGTGCGGTGGTCAGCGTTTGGTTGCGTGGTTGTAGGGTAGGCGGACGTTTCGCAGTAGTTTGTTGTTAATTTCACAGCAAATATCGGCGTACGTCAGGCGGTGATTAATCGCATGACGTAATCGCTCGCTACGTAATTGGAGCGCGGTTACTTCAGCAAGTAGTATAAATAGCAGTAGTTTTGGCTCACCGCTCACTTAGAGGCCAGCCTCCGCAGAGTCTACTGCACCTGAGGATGCCTCGTGTAGAGGCGAAACACGTGTCGTATTTTCGGGAGTGGTGTGTCGTGCCTAGTGTGGTGGTGCTGGGGGTGGTAGGGTTGGGATTAACGGCAACGGGTATATTGCGCGCGATTGAGGGAGGGTGGGGGGTCCCCTTAAGACTGGGCAGGATACATCATTTTCTTTCTTTACGCGGAATTAAGCAAATTAGTTTATAACAACCCCATTATAATGGATTTCCGCAAAGTAACGCCTGATTCTATCAATTAAATTAAATGGTATTTATGTATAATAATAAACTATTCGAAAGGTTTTAAATTATTTTGCAATAATAATGTACATTTCATGATGTACAGAACAGATAAGAAATATGGTACTATCTTCTTCTTTTTCATCGTAAGCCCGTAGAATTCGACTGCTGGATCGGACCTCTCCCGCTGTTGGCTTTAACTTAATGGTCACGTTTGGCAAGGCGTCTCCCTTTTGTGTGCAGGTTTTAACTTAGTGGTCATACGAGGTATACGCATTGGCGATAAGAACCTGTTAATAAATAGAGGAAGTTAATGAATGCTCGTAGCGCAGGCCCGTGTTTTGTGGCATTATTTTTTATATTTATATTTTTTATTATATTCAGCAGCGAACTTGTGAAAAACTGTAATGTTGATGACGACATCCAAGAATAATATCCTCTATCGTTTAACTTCATACCGTGTAAATTATTAACACTATACTTTGTATCATTACAGGTACTGGGCGGTCACTGATGTGGATTATATCCACATTCGAAATGAGAAGCGTATATTCACAATGATCTTCCTTGTCTGGGCTGCGGCTCTTGTTGTCTCGCTTGCTCCTCAATTGGGATGGAAGGATCCAGACTACCTCGCCCGAATAACACAACAGCAAAAATGTCTCGTCAGCCAAGATCTTGCATATCAAATATTCGCAACTTGTTCCACCTTCTACGTACCACTTGCTGTTATTCTCATATTGTACTGGAAGATCTTCCAGACTGCTAGACGACGAATCCGCAGACGAAGGGACCCGCCTCCGCCACGTCCTACTTCCGCGGATGGTGCCACGCCTTCAGGACGTCCTATTCAATCAGCGAGGGATAGGAGATTTGTCAAAAAGCGATTCTTAAACCTTAAAAAGTGCAACCAACATACACGAGCGGAAAAACTTGCTGCAGCGCTGTTGTTAACTGAAGGTCAAAGTACATCTACAGTTGACACGCTAGACGAAGAACCTCGGACAACAGCGTTCACTATCAATGAGAAAATTTCCGTGTCCGTATCACCTGAAAAGTCTTCCTCAACAGTCACCAATGGTTCAAAAACAGAACGATCAATTGTGCCTGCACTATCTCAAAGAGAAAAGAAAGAGTCTTTAGAAGCGAAACGAGAGAGAAAAGCGGCAAAAACACTTGCAATTATAACAGGAGCATTTGTTTTTTGCTGGTTGCCATTCTTCATCATGGCTTTGGTTATGCCAATTTGTCAATCCTGTGTGATAAGTGATTACCTTGCCAGTTTTTTCCTGTGGCTCGGCTACTTCAATTCAACACTCAATCCAGTAATTTACACCATATTTAGTCCTGATTTCAGACAAGCATTCGCTCGAATTCTCTTTGGCACTCACAGACGTGGCCGTAATAAAAAGTTCTAACAGAAATATCCATATTATATATATAATTGAGCTAGGGCTCTTTAATGGACATTACTCTCTTCCTTGTAACATATATTTGATGCTTTCTGTATGTTATACATACTTAACATTAGTAGTTAGTGTAAATACATTTAGACAGAGTTGTAAATAATATAAAAGAAGTATTATAATATATTATAGAATGTTGAGAATTGTTTTTTTACGCGTTATAGTATTTATTGCCGCGACGGGGTTGCTCGAGAGTCCATAGTGACACCGCCGCCAGCTCTATTATTGTTTCAAGTGACATTACGAAATAAATATTCAAATTATATCAGCCTATTGCATTTCATTGATAACCTTATATACATATCATATACATATATAATACAATGTCCTCTAGATCGAGTTTTGGTCACATTGGTCGGTCTCAACGGAGACTAGCCAACTACACAGGACAGGATTATAGCGCTCAAGTGTAATTCAATACGACCGGAATGAAACCAGGTGCAGACCAACGGCTTTACATGCTTTTAATTGCACGGGGGTGAAAAATTGCCCGATTCCTGTTTCCGAGCTGCTATTGAGATGTTATTACAGAAAAACCCAATAACTGATTTTGACCCGGGTTTTGAACCTGAGACCTCACGATCAATAATGAGAGAACAATAATTCTCTATATAAATATCCTGCTATTATAGGCACCAAGTGAAACCATTTCGTTTTTTAATTGAGGTGAGTCAACTATGGTTCTCACAGAGATCAGCCATTCCAACCCATTGCGGGATATGTTCGCAGGCAGACTAGTAGGTCTTAAACGTAAAAAATTAGTTGCCATAGCTAAAAGCGGCTAGGAGATCTTCATTATGGCAATGGCGTAGGAAATCTATGTCATCGTCTTAGACTAAAGTAAGTTGTAAGAAATGTTTAATCCATTACTAAACTTTTCTTGGCCTAACCTAAGTCTCCACTCAATTGCTATACCTAAGAAGCTCGTATGGAACCCAAATTGAATAAAATATCTTGCGTAGACACTCTGGCGGCCTCTCATCTCAAGGGTACCTCGTTTAGAGCCGGGGCGGCATCAGAGGCAGCTGTACTGAGTAAGTGGCGTAAATATAAGTCTCTGAGAGACGACTACATATTTTTGCCATTTGCTATAGAGACTATCGGTCCGTGGGGTCCACATGCGGTGGAGTTTATAAAGGAACTCCATCCGCGGCTGGTCTTTGCTGCTGGTGATAAGAGGGCTGGGTCTTTCCTCGCTCAAAAACTAAGTCCAGCCATTCAGCGGGGAAACGCAGCCAGCGTTCTTGGCACGATACCACGGGGAGTAGGACTATATGATAATTAAGTTTCTAGTTTTAGTTTTTTTTATTATTATAGATTTTTAATATTGAATATATTAAAAAATAAAAACAAATAAAAATATAATTAATCAATGATGATAATAGTGCAAATAAAATCAATAGCCTATGTATATTATGGTAGTAATAAATATGTCGGATAGAGCTGAATAACATAAAAATGTCGTGTAGTAGCAGTGTTATGCGTGGTAGAGCCATGCTGCAGCTATATTAGTAGTATAGCTGTAGCATTAATGGGTCGGTTCGACCGGGGAACTCTCACAAAATACCAGCGTAAAATGGCAGTTTGACACTGCTGTGTTTCGTATGGTGAGTGTAGAGAACCGGAGACCAATTTTACTGGGAAAGAGGCATTTCATCTTAGTCTTCACGGGTGACGACGCATCTGCATTTTAATTCTTTATTGAGGATAAATGTAGATGTCTATGGGTCACAGCAACCACTTACCATCAGGTGGCCTGCGTGCTCGTTTGTCACCCTATCCTATAAAAAAATCCACTACCCCATATCGTCTCGTGGGTATTATCATAACAAGAAAAGTGGTAGAGCCACGCGGCAGCTTTTGCTGTCGCACGGATGGGCCGGCTCGAACCGGGGAAGTACCACGACCTCACAGAAAACCAGCGTGAAGTAGAGGTTTACCTCTGCGTTTCGCTTGGTGAGTGCAGGTGGCCGGAGGCCCTTTTTACTGGAAATGAGGCATTCCATCTTAGTCCTCACGGGTGACAACGCATCTACATTTTAATTTGTAACAGAGGATAGATGTAGATGTCTATGGGCCGCAGCAACCACTTACCATCAGGTGGACTGTGTGCTCGTTTGTCACCCTTATCCTATAAAAAAAAAGCGATAGAAGGAAACAAACCAGGAGATGAGCAGCAGTGTTTCTCTAATAACAATTAAAATTAAATTAAAATTCGAATTAACTGCGATTGCCATCCCACCTGCCAAGCAAATTGCCAATGTTCAGAAGTGGACTTTCAATCGGATGTTACGGGGCGATTACGGTTGATTCTCTTCTATAGAAGGACTCTATAAAGACTGTTTAAGGTATGAAGAGTAAGTTGCAATAGCGACATTTATGATAATGATGTACACCTTTATATATATATATATATATATATATATATATATATATATATGCAGAGAAAATTAAACAAAAAGAAAAAAACAAGTATAAATACAAAGAGTAAATGCATATAATTTATAATTATGACGGAAAATTCAAATAATACTCCTTCAGTTGTTTTTCAAAAGTCTGTAAAGATTGCGCTTGCTGGATATTAAGTGGTAATGAATTCCAGTCTGGTTGCTTGTGAAGTAAATGACTTATTATAAAAAGAAGTTACGCTGCAAGGAGTATTCAAAGCCAAGCTATACACTGAACGCAAACTACGATCATGAAATTCATATCGATAGTGAAATTATTCGTTAAGGTACCTTGGAGATTTCGGATCAAATAGAACACAAAAAAGTAAAGAAAGTAAAGGAACATTCCGGCGAAGGTGAATTGGGAGCCACTTACGTTGATTTCGAAATTGGGATACATGGTAATATTTGCGTAAGCCAAATATGAACTGAATGGAAAGATTTTGAAGACACTCAAGCTTGTTTAATTGCTCCATGGTAATATCAGTGTAGCATATATCAGCATAGTCTAAAATAGGTAACAACATGGAATGTGCTAACGCAATTTCGGTAGAAATGTGTAAGAAATTTCGAAGTCTTTTGAGACTTCCACAAGCTGCAAACATTTTCTTACTTATTTGTTCAATTTGTGGTGCCCAAGCCATTGTATTGCCAATTAGAACACCTAGATTTTTCACAACCTTACCATAAGGAATAGCAGAACTTTCAAAATTAACGAAAGGCAGCGTATGCCTAGTAATTTTTTGTAGTAGTTTGTTGCTACCTATCGCTATTACCTGCGTTTTACTAGGGTTAACCTTAATTCCATAAGATGTGCAAAATTCTGAAATAATAGCGAGATCACGATTTGTGGATAGCACGGCAGATGGAAGATTATTGATACTTGTTTGAGAATATATTTGGAGATCGTCTGCATAAAGATGGTAGAGAGAAGTTATTCCTGACGTTATAGAGCGTATGAAAATTGAAAAGAGGAGAGGAGACAACACGCCACCTTGTGGTATGCCTGCATCCAGAGAACACCACCAGGAATAAGTGTCTTCAATACGGATGCATTGACGGCGTTCAAACAAGTAACTACGAAACCAGTCAGTTGCCGCTGAAGATACGTTAATAAAACCGAGCACAGCTAGAAGTATATCAAAATCGACTGTGTTGAAGGCGTTGCTGAAATAAAGAGTAAGAATAGTAACTTGCCGATTCTCCATTCCTGCCCAAATGTCGTCTGTGATTTTAACCAAAGCAGTGACCGTGCTATGGCCAGGACGAAAGCCTGATTGGAATGTATTTAAGAGGTTATTTTGATTAAGAAATAGATTAAGTTGCTGTTCAACAAGACGCTCAAGAATATTAAAAAGAAAAGGTAATATGGAAATAGGACGATAATCACAGTAGAACTTGGAATTTGATTTCTTGGGTAGTGGAATAATTTCAGCATCTTTCCATAGAGTAGGAAAAGTTCCTGTATTTATAGAATTGTTGAAAATTTTAGTTATGATAGGAGTTAAGAGATCTAATTGCGGGAGAATCATGTTTCGGCTGACATTATCATAACCAATTGCATTAGAAGTTACAGCTGTGATATTCTTTTTAACGTCACAATCAGCAACCTGACATAAAACGAATTCGGGGAAATCGGGAGTTGGCAAAGAATGAAGGTGATTTAGTGTCCTAGATTTAGAACTGTTAACGTAACTAGAACCTGAGGAAAAGTATTGATTAAGCATTTCAAAGTTTAAATCAGGAGGAAGGGAGTTATTTCGCTTTTTGCCAATTCCCAAACTTTTAAGAAATTTCCAAACCCTATTGGGATCAGAGTCCGCAATTGTTTTGTGAATGTGCCGTCGTTGCGCATTCTTAGGAATCGCTGCTACACATCGTGTTGCAGCGATTCCTAAGTATCCTGTATTTCTCACGATTTATATTACAGGGGTCCTTTTTAAATTTGTCTTTGGCTAGGTTTCTTCTTGTCATTAAATCTTTAATCTCTTTTGTGAGCCAAGGAGCCAGCGGATACTTAAGTTTGATTGGTTGTAAAGGTGCATGCTTGTCATATAGTTGCATTATAAAGGAATTTAAAAGACGCACTTGTTCGTCAACATCTGCTGTCTCATCAATTAACGACCAGCTTATACTGGCAGCATCATTTTTAAGACGGTCGACGTCCATTCTAGCAAAATTACGCAGCAGAAGAACACGGGACTTGACTTTTGGTGATCGTAATTTATATGACAAAAACAGCAAATCGTGGTAAGAAAAAGCATCGGCAGTATACTGCCCGTGTTTGTATATGTATTTTGGAGAGGAAACGATTTTTAAATCTAGAAGAGAAGGGGCACTGTTAGGGAAGAAATGGGTAGAATTAGAAGCCAAGATGTGAAGATTACATGAGTCAACTAAGGACTTCAATTTTTTTGAACGGACATCATCTTTGAGAAGACACGTATTGAAGTCACCCATAATGATAACATGTTTACATGTCGGAACCAATTCTTCCAAAGTTTT